ATTATTATTATCAATAAGAATCAATTAATTATTATTTAAACAAATACGTTTTATTTTTAAACAATAAAAAAAATTTTTTTTTAAATATCATTAAATAACAAACGATTGAATTAATCGATTTCATCCATGTTTTTTTTTTCATCATCATTATTATTATTATTATTATTATTAAATAAATGATAGCAAAAATCGTTTCAGGTATATATTTAATAATTAATTTATTTTATTTATAAAAAATTTGCAAGACGATTCATTTTAAATAAATAAACATTAATCATAAAAAATTAAAAACCGTTAAAATAAATTTAAAATCTTTTTGCCATTTTATTATTATTATTATTATTAAATATAATAACCGTTAAAAGTAATTTTTAATAGACCGAATCAATTATATATGTATTTTACCGGCTTTTTTGACGTCGAAACCGTGTAAAAAAAAACATCACGTGGGTTTTGTAACGAAACCAACCTGTACATACCTGATTTAAAACACGTTTAAACAAAAAATTTAATATCAATCCAGTTCGTGCCTGCTTTCTTTATATTTGATTTTTAAAAAAATTTTTTCTTTTTTCAAAGTTATTAATAATAATAATAATAATAATAATATTTTAACAAAAAAACGTTAATAATTATCACTTTAACATTCCTTATCACGACATAATAATCATAAACACTTTATCATTTATTAAAATAATTATTTACGTTTGAAATGAAAAAAACACGATAATTTTATGTTTTTACTAATAAATATATCATCGCGAAATTTTTAAAGAGTAATAATAATAATAATAATAATAATAAATAATACAGAGTAATAAACGTAATAATAATAATATTATTACGTCATAAAACAATGATGATAAATTATTTTTAAATAAATTTAATTTAACACTTTGAATTTTTTTTTGATTTTTTTTTTGTAAAATGTTTTCCAGTTTTATTTTAAAAAAAAAAAAAGTTCAAAGGTTACATCTACAAATTATCGATAAAAAGAAGGTATAAGTAAAAAAAAAAATCAAGATGATAATAATAATAATAAATTGATTTAAATCAATAATGATGGTAAGTTTGTGTGGTGCATAGTGTAAATTTAAAATAATTTAATGTTTATGAACGACCTTTGACACGACAATTATTATCATCATCATTTCTTTTTTCTTTTTTTTTATTAGCATTTTATACATTTTTTGCTGGTGAAAAAAAAAATGGCGGCGACGACCGTTTCGTCGATTTAAAAAAAAAAAAGAAATTTTAACTACCGGTCCTTGTCTTTATCTTGTCATCATCTTAAAAAATTTAAAAAACAACCGAAATAATAATAATAATAATAATAATAATTATTATTTGTTCTTTTTTTCTACGTAATTATTAGTTCGATTGATTTTTTACCAAATTTCCCCGCCCTCCTCTCCCCTTTTCTCCCCCCACGTGAATTTTTATCAAGTCTGTAATTTTCTATTAAATTTTTGAAAAATTTTTTTTCCTTAAATTTTAACGATGAAGTAGGTTTTTAATAATATTTTATTTTTAATAAATTTACGATGGTAATAATGATAATAATAATGATAATGATAATAATTTGGGAGGAAAAAAAAAATCGTGACTGCGTATAAAAAAAAAAAACGGGGAAAAGTCAGCGTGATATAATTTATAACGGTTTAGACCAGACGAAAAAAAAAAAATTTTATTTTCTTTTATTTCGCCCTTAATCAAATCTATTTAATTCAATTTATTTATTTATTTATTTTTCTGCAACTTTATTTCCATCACCGCAATCATTTTCACCATCGCCACCATTTTATTGTTGTTTTTATTTTATAAAAATTTTGGCACAAATTTTTATTTTTTTTTTATTTTTCCTTCTCTTAAATTTTTTTTTTTTTGCATTGTATTGAAATTTTACAGTTGGAAAATTATAAACAATAGAGACATCCGTTACACCGCCACAAAATTTTTAGAGGAAAAAAATAAATAAAACACGCGCACGCACGCACACACACGCACGCGGACGCGCGAGAAAATGGCGCCTCGAGAAAATTAATAATAATAATAATAAAAAAAGAAAATTAATAAATATCGTTTTGTGATTTATTTATAACATCGAACTCCGTATATTTATTATCATTATTATTATTATTATTGTTATTATTTATTTGAGAGAATTGTAGTTGTATAAACTTTATTCGAATTTTAAAAGCGTGAAATAAAATAAAATCGAACGTAAAAAAAAAACCGTTGAATTAGCTCACAGGTATCATATCCACGCTTTCCTATCTATTTATATTCATTTCGACTCGACTTCTACCTCCTCCTCCTCCTCCTACTACTCCCACGTTTTTTTCTTAACGATATATAAGAGTCACGTGACATTTATTAATAATATAATTATACAATTGGGAGTGTCTGAAAGTAAAATGAAGTAAATAAATTAATTTAATTATCCGTATTAATAATGACCCCGATTCGACCTAACCGGTAACCGGAAAAATCAAAGGAATATTTTTCTGATAAGGGATTTTCTCTCCAGTTGATGTATTAAAATCTTATTAGCATTATCAATTCTCCAGCGATTCCTCCTCCTTCTCCTGGGATTATTTTCCGTTTTGATAACATTTGAATTATTTTACACGTGGTTTGTCTTTGTGTTCCTTTGTGTAATTTTTTCTTTTTTTTTTTTAATTGGTTCTCTGATAATTATTTTCCGTTATCAGTTGATATCGTATATTCTTATGGATAATATAAAAAATAGTAATAATAATAATAATAATATATAGTAGGCGAGAATTTTTTTTTTTCAAGAGAAAAGTAGGCGGATATTATTTTCGATATGCGATCAATAATTTTTTATTTTTCTTATTATTATTAATCTTAATGATTGTATCGATTCTATCGATAATAATAATCACGATGATAATGATGATGATAATGATGATAATAATGATGATATTGTATCGGTTAATATTGGTGGGTTGGCGGTAAACTTTATTAAAATTATTATTATTTTTTTTTTTTTTTGTTTTGGAATTTTTACGGTCGGCCATTTTTTTTTAAAAAATTTTTTTCCTTGTTATTTATGATTTTAAAATTTTTCCTCCTTCTTTTTCTTTACTCGTTGTTGTTGTTGCGGTTGTAGTTGTTGTACACGTAAAGTAAAAATTAATTAATTATCGAGAAATGAAAAAAAAATTTATTTTTTATCGATTCGTTCTGATCTATTTCAATAAATTTAACTTTTTTTAATTTACGTGAATTTCAACGAGTATATGAAACGTTATAAATTTTCATCGTGGCAGGAGAAAACACAATTTTTTTTTTTTTTTTTCATTGCATACGAGAGATTTTTATTATTTTATTTTTTTTTTTTAAATCAAAGGAAAGGTTCCCTACTGAAAGTTATCTATTCTTTTTTACCCTACGGCGGAATTTTTAAAATGATAGTAATAATAGTAATAATAATAATGATTATTATTATTATTATTATTCTTTTACACGGTTGTTAACAAGGTTAAAAATAAATTTATATTTATTTGCAATTGATAAATTTTTTTTTAAAAAAATTGA